ATTTAAAGGATAAAGTAGAAAGAATAAAGCAGAGACACAGAAAACATTTGCTTAGCTGGGGCCACATAGTCAACTTTGGTAAGAAGGAACATTATTAGCCTGGAACCCAGAGTAGACTTGGGTGACTGGTCTGGGGAATATTTGTATGGACATGAAAATTATCTAAGTTTCCGTTTACTGATGAAGCACCTTGGGCAGAAGCAGCTCTGTCTCAGGTTTAGAAAGTTATTTCAGCAGTGTGTAATGAAAGTTGATGGGGAAATAAGTAAAAATTGAGAACAAAGGTATGAGACTGAAGTATAATAGTTTCTATTTTGAGATTCTACCTTTTGCCAGGGTGTTGACTGATGTTAAGTAATTATAAAAACACTGAGGAAGACATTATTGTTCCCACGTTATAGACAATCTTTAGTGTGTATCAAAATTGACATGTTTAGTGCTAGAAAATCCAATAAAATGGGGAGGGCTTAAAAGGAAGTATGGCTAGTTCCATAAAAATGGAAGCTAAGGAGGTGGCAAGTCTGAATTCAGGCCTTCCTATACTTCTCTACTTGAAGTAGCCTTTGTTAAGCTGATACATTTGTCAAAGTACAGTGGTGAGTTGTATGTGTCTAGATGTTACTGGTCTGGGGAATTTGATAAGGAGCTACATATGGTATGATGAAGAGCTTGGGTTTTGCAAGAGACTAAGTTATTAGCAATGCACTGAACACATAGGTGCTGTTAAAATTCCTGAATGTTTGGAGCAGGACAGAAATATATTTCTAGTGCATCCTTGTACCAATGGAAAGCCAAAAATATAGTTGGTCAGGATCCTTTAGTAATACCATTTCGTGAGGCAAAGATAATATTGCTAGGAAAAATGTGAAAAGGTTTTTACACACACAAACTGTTAGAAAACCAATTACAACATAAGGAAACTTTGGGAATAATTATACGGAATTCATCTTCATGACAAATAATAATATTCATAAATATCAAACCTTATTTGGAATTGAGACAAATTTCATAAGAATTTTTTTCTGTAGGGCAGAATTTTTTTCTGTAGAGATTAGTCCCAAATTCTTACTGGAGTTTATTTCAAAGAATCAATGAGTGATATTTGTATATTCTTAACATTGTATGGATTTGAATCTTTTTAATCTTTCCTATCTTTTTATTTGGTCCAATTATCTGATCTAAAACTACTTTTAAAATGCTGGCTCTTAATACCTAATTGATCTTAGATCTACAACAATGCTATGTTTGAGCATCTTCAATTTTTATTAACTTCAGAAGCAGCTGTGATCTAAGGTACTTCACTGGCTGGAAGCTGATGTAAAAATATGCCTAGAGTAAGAGAACATTACTCTAAGAAGAAACCTTTGGTTTCTTTCTTTTGCTTTTATTCCATAGGGGATATTTATATTTATCAAATTTTCTACCAAATATGTGGCATAGATGGCAGGGATGTGATGTGTTGTCCAGAAACCAAAACCCTCCACTGTATTCCCTTAAGCAAATATCAATAATTCCACTAAATGTTTGGTATTACTCTTGATATTTTATGAATGAGTTTGCTTGGGGCAAAGATGGGAACAAGGGAAGACTAAATCATTACTAGAGAATTTTTTAGTCATTTAAAAGAATTTGAGAAACGATTTGGAGGCAGAATGATAGACTTTTTAGTATACGTTCTTTAGTAATGAACATCTTTATCAAATACTAGCTGGACAAATCTCAGTTGTGACAATTCCACTAACAGTCTACCTAAAAGATAGACTTAGGACTTCACAATATCAAGGAAATTTTATGAAAGATATAAAATATCAAAAGAAGATCACAGTATTTATCTAAATACTTTAGGTCTTCCATATGCAATTTCTGGGTTCATCTTAGAGATCAAATCAAACACATACCAAGTTCACTGACACTCCAAGGTACTGAGAAATCATTTAAATGCCTACCTTTTATTAGTATTTTTAAGATTATAATTACATCATTCAGAATGCAACAGTCTCTGCTATAATTATTTCAGCAAAATGGCTTCAAGAAGCTTATGGAAATGGGCTTATTCTACTCACACTGTTAGCTAGAATGTCATCATATTTTCTATTTTTTTTTTCATGGTCAAAGAATATAAGAGTATGTATTAATGTTAGCCAACATATGAAATAAAAAGTAGTTTAAAAGTAGATCTAGCACTCTGAGACAAAAACCCGAAGTCATGGAGCTAAAGTTATCTTTAACAGCAGGGAATCTTTCATAGTGACATAAGAATCCAATAAGACATTGATGTGAAAGTTCTTTGTAAAGTAAATGCCTGACTTTCTACTAGACTTAGTTGTTATAGATAAACAGAAGAAACTCTCTCAGTGGACTTTGGTTTTTAGTGAGGTTCACTGGTTACCTGAAGAAGGGCAAGGATGTGACCGGTGGCATGATTTCACTTTCTAAAGAGGCTTTTAGTGGGGTTTCATTACACTTTTTAATGTGTCTGAAGCACTAACAGAAATTAATTTTTTCCCTAGTTTTCCCAATTTGTAAAAGCTAACGTGCACAAAACAGTTATTATATGCCAGGCACTGTACTAAGCATTTAACATAAAATAAGCTCATCTCCTCATCCCAACCACCTGTGAGCTCCCTATGACGGTCATGCCCATCTTAAACATGAGAAATCTAGAGGCACAGATTAGAGGGATGAACCCACATCAGTAACAATCACAAGAACAATTTTATCTGTAGTTACTATAATCTATATCATTGGTTACCTCCATCTACTTCCATGAATCAGACATCTTTAGAAGCTACTATGAAATAGTAACATAACTGTACTTCTGGAGCAAGAAGGAAATGTTGGAAATAGGTGATTTTAAACCTGTGTTTCTAATCAAACACAGACTGATAAACTGTGATATTGTACTGGCAGAATATTCCTTATCTACAGCCACATATTAAGTTGAAAGGATGAGGCCATGCAATTTTTCCAAAGCAAGAAAGCGGGGTTGTAAGTTGCATAGATGCTGGGGGTGCCTGCTCACTCCACTCTTGAAATAAGAATTGCGTTAAAAGGACATGCTGAATATTTTCTAGTTTTCTCAACCAATCTTTATTCTAGCTCTGGCTTGGGCCTTCAAAATGTGTGGTATGGATATGAGTCTGGAATCAATAATCTTTCTAGCACCCTGTACTTTTCTCACTGGCTCCAAAAATACATCTGTTTTGTGTTCTGTTTCAGATCTGCCCCAGATTGCTGGGACACGATTGCCTAAGTTGATAAATAGGTTAATACCTAGGGGGATAACTTTTTGCTTTCTTTATATGGGTGTCTTCCATAGCTTAGCCCTCCACAGGAGTGACTAATTTGAGAATTTAAAGAATGGAGGCAGCTCCACAGGAAGTTGTTCTGGAGAAGCCTTTTTATGACATAGCATAGGCAGCTTGGCTGCCTGTCGAGTCAGTCTTGGCTAGCCCCTGCGGTGGCTTCCAAGGCAGCCCAGGGGCTGGAAGTTCTCAGGCGGCAAGTTTATTCACTTGTGCAGTGTGTCTAAGCTTCCAGAAATGTGCCTTTGCATGAGGGGCCATAGCAACATATTCAATTATTTTGGGTATGGTGGTAAAAAAAAACATTTTGATACCCATGCACGAAGATTTACTTTGAGTTTTCCTTAAAAACAGGACAGTCTTAAAATCTTGGAGAAGGTACAAATGAAGGTACTTAGCAGATCAAGTCCACTAAATCATGAAAGGTTCAGTATGAAAGAAAGGTAGATAGAAAAAAATGTTGCCGTGCACACTGCCTTCTTTGAAGCTCCTGCTCCCCAACCATTTCTATTGTTAATATGTCAGCATATTTTTCTTTCCATACAGCCACCATTGAAAATTTCACATAACTCAAGACAGTAATTTACTCAGAGGAAACACACCTGCAACTTTATTAATAACCAACTTTTTTTATTAGAGCAGATACAGTTGTGAAAACTGTACATTATACATTTTGGTTTCAAGGATTATAAATAAAGGAACTCACAGGTAGGGAGTTCTTTTTCACAGCAAGTAACTTTAAATAAACAAAGTCATGTTTTATTAAGTACATTGGCAGACTTCATGTGCTGTCCAAAATGTAGAGTACAGTATAACAACCCATTAGAAAGAGCCTTTCATGTAAAATACAGCTGTGCACATTTTAGAAAAATACCAACAATTTGAGCTTTGTTTTAAAAAGGCTTATAAATCATACATATATATTTATAAATGGAACCAACATGCTCGCCTTATAAACATATCCTTTAGTTGTCTATTATCCATTATTTCCAAAGCATTACACATTTTAAATAAACACTTAATAAGATTAAATATTTTATTTATTTTTTTAAAAAAAATCAGCTTTCCCAGCATAAAGAGCTATGGGGTTAGGAAGGAGCTGTGAGAGTACCAAGACTGACACAGAAACTTAAGTGTTTCTTGGGTAAAAACATACTTCCTAGACTGAAAAGTCAAAGCAAAATGTAAAAAATAAATAAATATACAAGTTGCAATTTTCATTTGCTCTCTTTCTGCTTTCTTCTTTATTCCATATTGGTCACACCCAGGATTCTCAACATATTGTACTTCTGCAAAAAACATCACTGGGTTACTACCCTGCAGATGACAAAGCATCAGTCCACACCTGTGCTAACATGTGATTTGTCTCTTCTGCGCTGAGAAGGTAGCAAATATGGTAAAAAGAATCTGACAAAACCATGCAGATCATGAAAATATTTAGGAATAGCTCCCTCGCCTCAATGAAATGTTTTATAGAGATTTAACAGGTACCTTTCCTTCCCTGATTTCTTTTTAAATCACAATTTTTATAAACATGATGTAGTTTCTCTAAGTAAGCATGCTTCTGAGTAATAGATAAATTATAAAACAGCAAAAAAATCAGATTATGTCAGAACAACAAAGGACTGCAAAAGACATAAATAAAAATGTCTAAGCCTTTAAAATGTGAAATAAAATTACAAAAGGACTCTGAAAAACATGAAAGGCATAAGATTGAGAAGCAGTGACTTAACAAACCTTTATGCTCTACCTGAATGTATTCAACAAAAATTTGTTGAAAAAAAAAAAGCAGTTATTAATAGCATCTTGCTTAACTTTCATGGGAATTAACATAGCCACTGACAAGATTTTATTTGGTTGTAAAGTACGTCAGCAATGAAACTAGATCCTTTATACACTGATTACTGCAATCCATGCAACGTTTTGACTACACTTCTTAGAATTCTGTTGTCTTTCAGCTTTTAAAATTTAGCATCTCCCAGGTGCATAAATAATTCATCTTGCTAAATATACTTTCAATAGGAAGGTTAATACCTTCAAATTGTAAAGATTTTTACAGGTGTAGGAAGACCAAATGACACGAGAAATAATGTATTGCTATCAAACACATTTACTCCAGAATTCTGTTGTCTCTTTTCCTTGAGCTGCAGCACATGTACGTTTCATCCAGCCAGGCCCACACGTTGTAGGTGACTATACATCATATTTAAATCAACAGCAAAAATGAACATAGTCGTGCACAAGCAAACGCAACGTTCTCTCCCAGAACATTCCAGGAGATGTTAAAGCAGCAGGTCATGGCATAAGACTGGTGAGTGAGGCTGCTACCTATTTCTTCTAATGAGATAGGAGTGAATGTTGGAACCGCGGCCACAGCAACACAATCCTCCGACCGCATTCCTCAGGCTGTCGTTTGTTTCCCCAGCTCCCTACTAAAAACGTCAGATGGTAAAATAGTAAGGCAGCTGTTGACTTCCATCAAAAAAAAAAAAAAAAAAAAGCAGCTCCATACATTTCCAGTTTAGTCACACTTGCTAGGACAGATGGAGTAGCCAATGCCAAGAACTTCACCGGATGGGGCTGCTCCAGCAGATTTTAAAAAAGAATGATTATTAAGTTTTGCTTTCCACCATGGCTGCTTGCTTCAGCTCTCAGAGGACCCCAAGCCACAAAGCATTCCCAGGGAACCGAACAGGTCCTCTGGCTGAATTTTTCCAAGTTTCATTTCTCTCGCGATCCCATCCTAATTCCAAGCCTCCTTCCCTGTGTCTGAGTCTGACTGGGGTGGGCCAATTAAAGGGCTGATGACACCACTAGTTGTCATGACTTCACTGAAGGGTCAAAACAGTTAAATCGTTATGTTGAATCACATTCAGGCACAGCCAAAATTAAAGTGAAGGACAATTAGTTGTTAAAAAATATATGTAAATTTGACTATGGGAATAGAATGTTAAACATGGTGATATTATAAAGAAATAAAGGTTATTCTTACCTCTTTATTCCAATCAAGTTAGAAAGTGAACAAAGAGAATGGCCAAGCCGATATTCAACAGCATGACGAGGACAATCATGACTGAATTAGGGCCCTGAAAATGAACCAGAACAGCACAAGCATAACTTTTTTGGTGAATCTAAATATGTTAGTTTACAAAACCAGTGACCAAATATATAAAATCTCAACGCAGTTGCAGTAAGTCATGAATTACCACAGCAGATCAAAAAGGTATAACTAAAAATAGCCAGGCTGTATTTAGATGGAGTCATCTCTGAACTTTCATTTAAATGAATCCAGTCTCAATTAAACCTGAAATAAGGCTCAAAAATTAATCTTCATTCACCTCAAAACTTCAAGCAACAGTCTGGATGAGGCACAACTCACTACGATCAGGTTATAGACCCATGGCAATTAGATATGCCTTTTTGTTAAGGTGTAATTCAGACAAGGAAAAACTATTTCCTATTAAAGGCAGAACTGCAGAGAGAAATCTGTGGGACAATGAAGGCTCCTACGAAAAATTTAAGAGCTAAAAATGAGGTTCTCTGACTCTTGCTATTCCTGGACTCATTGTTTAGATACTACCTTCTCCTTAAAGTAAAAACTGCCAGTAGGAAACTGAACATTTTCAGGAATTCCTTTGCAGGTTTAAGTCCTCATATTTCTGTTTTTTAATGCTTCAGAAATCAAGTTATATTTAACAAATCTTAGAATCCTATTTTAATAAACAGTGCTATAATAAATACTAGCCAGTTGAAAGTAAACTTTAATTACTTGTTTTAAAAAAAAGCAAAGAAAACTTATATGAACCATCTTTTCAGATGTGAATGTGTTTGGCCATCTTTAGCACAGAGGTATGTTTTTGATCTTTACAACTAAGATAGTCTCATTCTTAAATGGTATTAAAAGTGCCCTAAACTGGCTATGTTGAGGTAGGTGCTTTTACTATTTTTACAGATGAGGAGACAATTGTAATTATACTTGGGTATCCAATGAGATGACATTAAAAATATAGGGACCTCAAGTATTGTATTAATGTATTGGGGCGGGGATATAAATGAGGAAGATTGAAATTGTGATTGGGTCAGTGCTCATCTTGTAGGAGCTGGGGCTTAAGTTAATGCCACTCAAGGTGGTCTCCTCCCTGAGTGTGATCACATCTCTCCTGGAGGTCAGGATACCCTGCTCTTTACCTCTCCTCACATACCACCATTTGTCATTTCTTATTGGGTTGTCTTTCCCCAAGACTATGTGCTCCACAAGGCAAGGGCCTGTCTTGTTTGCCTCTGCGCACCCACATGTCAGGGTGCCTCATTTATTCATGAAATCACTATTTGATGAAAAACTATTTTTCCAGCACTTTTGCAGGTGCTGTGAATGTTGTTATTGAACAGATTCACCATAAAATGAACAGGCTATTAGTAAAATCAGGGTGATAGAGAGGAAAAAAATAAAGATGGGTACTTTTGAGAGAGGGAGTTATTAGGAAAAAGAGAAACCTTAGTTCCTAAACCCCAAGTAAATTCATGGAAAATAAACATTTATTGCAGGTCTTAATATGCCAGGAGTGGTCTAAGCATTCCTTTGTAGACTTGATTTTTTCTTCACAAGAGATTATTCCATTTTATAGGGCTCTGAGAGGATGTCTTACCCAAGCTATGTAGGGAATTGGAATGAAACAGAAGTACGATTAAACTTCAGTCTGTCCATTTAAGAGCTTCATCACTATTAGTCATAGCCTTCTTTGAAAATACACTTGACCCTTGAATAATGTGGGATTTGAATCACATGAGTCAACTCATTCACTGATTTTTTTTTTTTTTCTCTGTTGGTTCAGCATTCATGGATTCAACTAGCCTTGAAGTTGGTGAGTTGAATCTGTGAATATGGAACTCACAGATATGGAGAGCTGATTGTTGGGGTGAGTCCTGAAACCAAAGTTGTACTTGAACTTTTTGACTGCACAGGATATTGGTGTCCATAGTTCCATGTTATTTAAGATTAACTGTAAGTTCTAATCCAGTTCTTAAAAACAGGCACTTTATATTCTATGAATGTTTTTCTGCTACTAAGGGTCAAGCTTTATAATGATCAACTGCTTTTTGGGAATAGCTGTATTCAAGACTAATAGTGCAAACCTACTACATAACTACTGTGGTTAACTTAGAACATTTAATGTAGGAAGCCCCATATAACTGAATTAAATGGTTTTTCATCATAACTTGATGAAAATTTACAGGTATTGGTATGGTATTACTATTACCAACTTTGGTTAGATTTTGCTCATGAATATGTTAGGTTTTAGGGTCAGTGGAATTCACAATTCTCCAAGGATAGCAATACGGAAGATGACAAAGAAAACACAAGATAGTTCAGTGTCTTACAGTAAGCAAAAGGAAACATTTCAGAAAAGTTAACTTCACAAGTTTCAGGTGTGTCTGGACCTGAACTTCCATTTCATAAATCCTTAAAAGATTTTAAGTCCTTTATGTATGTACGTTTTCCAATTGAACAATACATATTTTTCTTGCTATATTCTAATGTGCAAATTTAGTTATCCTAGCACATATAAAGTTATTTTTAGATGTGACTTAAAGTTTTAAATAGCAAATCAGGTAAAAATGTTTAAGACATGACTTCTGATTTTAGATACCTATGCTGGATACAGGCTGGAAAGCTTTAAGGTGAAGTCTCAGAAATGTGACTGTAGTAACCAGTTGTAGCTTAAAATAGCAAAAAAAAAAAAAAAAAATCTGCCTTGCTTTTCAAGATTGACTGGGACAGGTGTAATAAAAGCTGTATCAGGGCAAAGTGCAAGTCTTGATTGAAAGAAGCTTCAGGCAGATAGTTATTCTCCTTTAAAGAGACTTTCACTCATATGGGTGAGGATTAAACCTGAAGAATTTTCTGTTGAACAGTAGCTTACTTACATTAAATCTAAAATTCTCTCAAATCTTGTGAAGAGAGCAAAGTTTAATTTACCATTAATAGCAACTTAATTATATATATTTACTATTGCGTGTCTATGGTTCCTTTCGAAGTGGTAAATCCAAATCTCAGACTTGGAAGCTGATCAGCGTAATAGCTAAAAGTGCAGGCAATTTTGGGGAGTAAAGATGCCTCTAGTTCTTCTGAGTCACCCATGTTGTAGAATTTTGCAAAAATTTTGTTATCACAGACTCAAACTGAATCAAGAACCGTATGGATCAAGATGGCCTAGTGGCCAAGGGACTCTAGTACCAGGACATGAGTGTACACACAGCTACCACAGCGGAATCAGATTCCATGAGGAGGTAGTAGGGCACCCCCTGCCATTTGTCTCCCTTCTCTTGCCGCTTATCTCAAGTAATTAATTTAATCTTCATTAGCCAATGTCCCACCGATTTTCCATGAGATTTCTGTATCAATATTTAGTGATCCTGAGAATGTGCCAAAATTTACTGGAATATCTATGAGCTTACCTATGTTTCCATTAGTACAGAACTGAAATGAACTGAGTAAATAGTCACTGCTTTGTGAACATTTACTATGTTCGAGGTATTGTTAGTCTTAGTCTCTTAATGGGATATACTGAGAAATGTGTCATTAATGATTTTATCACTGTGCAAACCCCAGTGTTCTTACACTAGTCTAGATGGTGTAGTCCACTATACACCCAGGCTGTATGTAGGGATCACCGTTGTACATGTCACCGACCAAAATGGCTTTATGCAGTGCATGCCTATATTATGTCATTTAATTTTCATAGCAGCACTGTGGTGTAGGTACAGATGAGGAAACCTGCCCAAGTCATGGAGCTGGTAAGCAACACAGTTGGGGTTTGAAGCTAGGGAGTTTGGTAGTAGAGTCTCTTGGCCACTAGCTTATTCCATCTCAATCCACACAGTTCTTGATTCAGTTCGAGAACTGCTACTTGGGTGACGGACCAAACTAGACCTCTTAGCTGCTTACAAGGAGCACTAATTTGTTCAGTCTGGTTTTCCCTCACAGGTCTGCTTTAATGTGAATGTTGACATGGATTTTCAAGTTATTTCTAAAGCTCTAATTTACACAGTATCCTTTCTATGCCCAATGTGTTTGTACTACTCTTGTTTGAAACATTATTCAGACTACCCCAATCATGATTCTCTTCCTAACTGAAGAAGGATTATTAAGAGTGGGAAAGGAAGAGAAGGGTAATTGTTAAAATCTTGAGGAAAGGCTGCCAAGCCAGCTTTGGTTTCTCGTTCCCTCACCGTCCGCCCAGAGCTGTTCAGCTTCTGTGCCCTTGAGGTGTGGAAGTAACCCCACTGTCTTGGCGTGAAGGATGCCTGACCACATGAACCAGACAATTCCGTTTCTAAATAGGATGTGAATTTACCAAACATACTCATTAGTGATGATTTGAAAGACTACTTGAGGTAAGAGGTAGGTAACGAGAACTCTTGTGCGGGGCACAGATAAACTAGAAGCTCCCCAGAGAGTGCTTGAATCAAAGCCAGCCCACTATTGGGACCCAAAAGTATGGTATAGGCCTGGGCATTATTTGAATTTTCCCTAGTAATTCAGCAAACTACTACTTATATATATCTGAAGCTTTATCTACTTGTGAATGTGTTGGCAATCAAATGAGAAGTGATTTATTACATTTCACAAATTCTAATAGTGATATATAATAGTTATAAAATTAGAATTTAGACATACTGATATTAATTTTTTTTCTTAAAGAATGCTTACTGAACAGTCTTTTAAAAACTATTCCCTCCCATGGCCATTAGGAACTTAATCCAATTAATTTATAGTTAGATGAGAATTTGAAAAAAAAAACAGTTTGTAGGTATCAGCAAAATAACCAAATCTGAGATATTTCAAACATTAGGTGATTAAAAAGATTAATTTCAAATGCTTAAACCTATAAGTACACTGATAAGTAAAAATAAAAATTCTTTTTGGCCAAGATTTTAACCCTTACTGTTATGCAGCTATGGCTCAGAAATTATTAGTAATATTGGATAGGGTATGGTTTATTCCCTCAGCTAAATTTAACCAAAGACACATGACTAAGTCCACAGGTCAATTTTTTTAATAATTAGAATTTAAAAAATACTAATTGCAGTATCATTCAACAAATCTCATATGGTTGATATTTAGCAGTAATAAAAGTTTCTGATTACTGAGTTAGGAAACCAAAATAATGTTCTAGAACAATTAAGATTTTGCAGTTGAAAATTAAAAAAACTTTTGGGCTGTCAGAGAAGTCAAGGTATTTAAGTAAAACATCAACATAGCCAGAAACAATACATACTTTTGTGTAAAGATACTGATGGTGCTGGGTATTAAAAGGTAGACTAAGTTCTTCCTTGCTTGAAGTTACAATCTTCAAAGAGCTAGCTACTATTATGGATGGCATATATGTCCCCTGAAAAATCCATCCATTGAAACCCTAATCCCCAGTGTGATGGCATTTGGATAAGGGTCTTTGGAAGGTAATTAGTCATATGGGTGGAGCCTTGGCGATGGGCTGGCTCCCTATGTCTCTCAGGCACATGAGGACATAGCACTCTGACTTAAGGTCTGTGAACCAGGAGGTTGGGGCTTCCTGCCTGCTACAACTGAGAGAAATGTCTGTTGTTTAAGTTACCCTTTTATGTTAGTTTTGTTAATTCAGGTTGCTCTAAGACAGATACCACAAAGCTTACATGATGTGCAGTGACTCTGTCAGCCTAATAAGCTGGTGGTGTTTTCATTGATTAGCACTGATGTCTCAGGTATGTGGCTGAGTGAACATGGGGATTTCTGCCTGGAGACCACTGCTGTTTCAGGCTATAAGCATGCTCAGTTGTTAAGATACTATACACTGCAACCAAAGAGAACTAGAGAGAAAGGAAAATATTTCTTGCACAACTTACTGAATTAGCTTCCTTTTCCAAAGAAGGGTACGATTCGTTGCTTGCTGGATTCTTTGGTATAGCAAGTTCAGACTTCTTAGCTTTTGGCTCAGCTTTGCTTTCTTTGGCAACTGATTTTGTCACAGATTTAGGGGCATTCCACTTGTTGGGTGATGGCTTGTGCACCAGTGCTGAGGAAGATTGGCTCGATCTGCTGTTTTCCTCTGCTTCATCTGGAGGGTGCTGGGGGGCATTCAGTTTCACGTAGTAGCCATGGTACTGAGAGTGCAGCTCCCCATTACTGGGGTTAGGGATGTGGTGGCGGCCAGAGTACTTGGATGGTGGCAGGCCTGCTTCCTTTGACGGAGCCTTTGACATCAAGGGCTTATTGACAATAGCTGTCACCTGCTCATCGGCCACACTCCTTTTGTCTTGGTTATGTCTTGCCCTTGAGCTGGGGTTCTGCTTCTTTGTGGATTTTGGGGAAGGCTGTGGAGAGCGACTCTGTTTGGGACTTGGCTCAGGAGACCTTGGTGGTGTCGTGCCTTTGCGATAAAAATGAGGAGATTCCTTTGGGGTAGGTGACTTTTCTGGGACCTTCTCTTCTGGATTTTCTTTAGCATCTACACCTTCCTGAAATCTCTGTTTGATATAATCTGGGCCTGGAGGAGAAAAGGAAAGTGATAAAACAAAAACAATTCAAAAAGATTTGTTCCTCATGGCTAAGATTAGTCTTTTGTCTGTTTTTTTCTTCTTCTTCTTCTTTATAAGGCTTTGACTAAGCATAAGCACATTTCATTCCTCAGAGGAAAGATTACTAAATAAAATCTGCTCTTTGAAAGTTACACGTAAATATATACCATCACTGTTTCTTGATAGCCATAAACTATAAGACTTGACTTCCCTAAGAAATTGCAGTGTTGTTTTCTGCTGGCAGATTACTAAAGTGAATTATGTTGATGGGACACTGATGATAATCCCATAATTAATCTGTGTATTCAATTTATGCTTAAATACCTTTGGCCCCACCTACATATAGTGTAGAAAGCAGAAATGGAAACAGCTATAACAGATCCCAAAAAGTGACAGTTGCCAGGAAAGGATGATAAGGATGAAACACTAACAAACAAGAGACCATTTATTTGGTGGTGGGAGAAACTTATGTTGTTTAATGTAGATTCAGAAAAGATATTTTCTCTAAAGTTAGTATTTTAACAAAAGTCAATTATAGTTGAGCAACAGAGCAATTGATCAAATGCTGAGAATGACTGGCCATGCAAGGAATTTGTTAAACTTGAAGCTACGTTTTCGATCACACTGGATGTGTTTCTTATTCTGGTTGCTGATCAACACTTAAATACGAATCTAATCACTTGAAATGATGTAATGTTTCTTTGGACACAGTTGTCTAGAGTGTATTAGGAGAGGCATTTCTTTCATGATCACATTTTTGCCTTTCTAAAATGTGATACATTCAGTTTAATCTATAGCTGTTGTACTAATATGTTGAACTCAATGAATTTACTAGAATGTGGAAGTACTTTTCTAGCAGACCTTCAGATTTTAAAAATTTCTATCACTTTTAGAGGAACAGACAAAAGGAATTTGAATGGGAAAGCCAGTACAACTGTCACTATTTGCAGATGACATGGTAATATACCTTAAAACTCCACTAACAAACTAATTGAAATAATATACCAGTAGAGTACAGGACACATAATCAGTTTAAAAATTCCATTTTTCAACATGCAAATAGTGAACTAGGAGAAAAAGAAATTAAGAATACAGTACTACTCACAATTGGAACAAAAAGATACATGGGTAAAAAAGGAGCACAGTGTGGGTGCAGTGACATGCATCCGAGAAGGTGTTACTCGTCTCTGAATCACGTACAGTAAACCAATGTTATTTAAAAATAACATTTAAAAATCATAAAAAAGGTAGATTTTTTTTCTTTTTGAGGCAAGGGAATAAATATACTCCAAAGCAGTGGCGCCATATTTGCTACCTATCGCAGGCTTACCATGGTGCAGCTGAAGTGGAGGCCTCTCAGGGAACACAGGCTGTGGGACGCATTCTTGGTCTCACTGTAACTACTAGTACCTTCCACAAGGGAGATTATATACTCCTCTAGAACCCCAATTCTTAACAGATCTTGCCAAGCTGACACCTGAGGTCCTGGCATCCAAACAACCTGAAACTAGGTACTAGGAAAGATCCCCCTTCCTTGGAACATGGACAGGTCTTAGTACAAAACCTTCAATAACAGTGACCTGTCAAGACAACACAATGGTTAGAGTTAACCAAAACATAGTGTGAAGATGAGCGATGAAATTCAACGCTGCTGATGCAAGGACAGTCTATTAAGACTGGAGGAGGCAACTGTTTTACTAATAACATATAGAAATAAAAACAGAAATATAGTCCCAATGACAGAACAAAATAATCTCCAAAGAAGTAACCTATCAGATAAAGAAGCAGGGCTCTCCCTGGTGGCACAATGGGTTAAAACACATTATGAAGCTCTCCAAAGCCATTGCAGCATGATTTCATCCCTGGTCAGGGAGCTGATCCACCTGGTGTGGCAGACCTCTCCTGACCTGCCTGCTGCTCCCCTCAGCAATGTATTTCATTACATCTGCCTGTTCTGCTCTCCACTCTCTCCGGTGAATCCTCTCACCTACTACTCCTCTGGCCTGTACCCCAGTTCTGTAAGCATAAGTAAATCTTTAAAAAAAAAAAAAGCAATGGTCATAAAGATGCACACTGAACTTGGGAGGAGAAAGGATGAGCAAAGTGAGAACTTCAACAAAGAAAAAGATGTATGTACCAAACAGAAGTCCCTGCATGGAATACAATAGAGGGGTTCAGCACAATTAGTGAGCTCAATAAGGGTAGTGGAGCTGACCCAAAACAGAGTAACAAATAGAATCTTAGGTCTCTTATCTACCTTCATTTCCTATGTTACAGCAGAAAGAACATTCACAATATAGGGGTCCCAGAAAAACGATTGAGAACAAGGTAGCAAACTTAGTTCCCAGATTGGGGATCAGGTAAAACAGATATTCAAGTACACAGAGCACAGGGCTCCAAATAATATAACTCAGAGAAATACACGGGATGATATAATCAAATGCCAAGTTAAAGAATCTTAAAAACAGCAAGAGAAAACATACTATCAGATTTTTCATCAGTTTATAAGCCAGACGAGAGAAGCATGATATAGTCAATGTTCCGAAAGAGAAAAAGAAAAGTCAACACAAATGGCAAGGCATGAAAATACAGTCTCTTCAGTAAATGGTCCTGGGGAAACTAATGAAACTTCCAAACATACACAAAAACTAACTCAAAATAGCTATGACCCAGCTCTTACATTCAAATCTTTAATTTTCTGGAAGAAAATGTGGGTTGTAGTGATGTTTATATGGGTTTGATCCCAAAGGCAAGGTGCAATAAAGTAAAATAAACAAAATAGACCACATCACACTAATAACTTCTGAACAGCAAAGGAAATCAACAAAAGGGCAACTTATTGAATGAGAGAAAATGTTCACAAAGCTACGTATCAGATAAAAGGTTAATGTCTACAATGTACAAAGAACTCCCAAGTCAAAGGAAAAAAGCCTGATTTAAAAATAGGTAGATATGAACAGACCTTCCTCCTAAGACTTAGTCAATAGCTCAGTATCACTGATCACGGGGAAATGCAAATATAAACCACAGTGAGATTCTTGCCTCACATCTTGTCATTTTTGAAAAGACAAGGGATAACAAGTGTTGGTGAGGATAGAAGGAAAAAGGAATCCTTGTGCACTGTTGGTAGGAATGTAAATTGGTACAGTCGCTATGGAAATTAGTATGGAGATGCTGTAAAAAATTAAATAGAATTGTTCTATGTTCCATCACTTCTACTTCTGGGCATCTATCCAAATAAATCAAAAACTAATTTGAAAACATATGCAATTTTCATTGCAGCATTATTTATAATAATCAAGACACACAGAGAATCCAAGTGCTTACCCATGAATGAATGGTTTTGATAAACTTAAGATTTTCCTTAACTTGTGATGGTTTTGCTCCCTAAAAACCTGTTGTAAATTTAAAATATAAACCAAAAGTGCATTTAATATACCTAACTGCCGAATATCATAGACCACCTTAAATGAGCTCAGAATCTTTAAATTAGCTGGGCAACATCTAACAAAAAGCTTGTCTTATAACATGTTGGACTATCTTAATTCAATTTATCAAATGCTGTACTGAAAGTGAAAAATACCCTGTGGAATAGCAGTAGTTTTGTAGCTCACTGCTGCTACCTTCCATCACAGGGAATAGTGTACTGCATATTGCTAGTAGGGGAAATGATTAAAATTCAAAAATCAAAGTATGACTATATCTCCACTGGATGTGTATTGCTTTCACACCATTGTTAAGTTGGGGACCATCTGTAGATAATGGAATACTACTCAGCCATGAAAAGAACAAAATCTTGTCTGTTGTGATATGAATGGCCTTTGAAGGTTTTTCTGCAAAATGAAATCAGAAACAAATAATGTATCATTTCAATTATGTGGAATCTAAGAAAATAATTTAAAATTTTATATAGAGAAAGTAGAATGGTGGAGTTCTGAGGGTTGGGCAATATGGGTGAAGTAGATCAAGAGATACAGATTTCTGGTTACAAAATAAATAGGTCAAGATGTAATATCATGGACACTATAAACAATGTGGTATTGCAGATTTGAAAGTTGATAAGAAAATCTGGTAAATACTTATTTTGATGGTCATTGAAAATATTTGTACACTTGGAACTAAAATAATGTCAGTTAGAATTGGAGAAAACCAAGTTCCAGGTGATTCAAATATACCCAGTTACAGGTATTTGGATACATGTAAAAATGTTGCCTAGAGGTTAACATACCATTCTTAAATGACTATATCCAGTTGGAAACAACTGTAACATGGCATAGTCAGACAGGGACTGGCCATCTAAACAAGGATATACAATTGTACTTTCCAGAGTAAGACATTTATATACTGCAGAGGACAGAAGTTTTTCCTGGACTGCACACTTTGTGCCTGCTACTTGTTCCTGTAGTAATTGTGTTGGCATTGCTATGTCAGCAGCATAAAGTTGATGAGATGCAGCAGTTTATAAGAAAAAAAACTAGTCAGAAAATATTGTCAGGGAAGAAAATTATGACAAGCTTTGATGGTTGGTGCAGTTAGCAATTTCATCTTTTTTATAGACTACGTTGATGAACCTTCCTACCTTTTACCTTCTCTGGGAATTCATACTGGGGAGAAGTCAGGCTCAGACACAGATCACCTGCTCACTGACACAAAACAACATTCAGCACATGTCATATACCAACACTGGCAGGTTACTTGCTACAGTTGGCGCAAGTCTCTGAACAGATATGGCAGATGGTAACAGCAGGGTATTCAGCTAGTTCCTCATAGGTGAGCCAGGTATGGGCAGCAGCACTAAGAAGAGTTCCTAAAACAAATGATTACAAGGGCAGTGCTGATAGCAAAGACTTTGTAGCAACATCAGAAGTCATTCAATAAATGTTCATTTTATATGGAGACTGCCCATCAGTTAAAGCATGGAAACAGTAGCAGGATCAATTCTGTTCTATGTGGAAGAAATACTACATTTCTATAGGACTTTGTAACAATACTGCAATTTTTGTGACCACAGTGGCTGTGTTTTTGTCTGTAAGCCATAGGACACTCACTCATTACAGAGCTTTACACATGATTGGACTCAATTCATGCTTGTGGAACTGAATATAGCAGAATAAATGGTAAGGATAATCAGCAAACTCATGAATTAATTTCATGTCAATTAGTAGATTAGGGTTTTGGATAGTGAGTTTAGAAATTCCATGGTGGTTCCCTTTTCTTAAAAATATTTATATTATACTATATATGTCTAATTCATATGAGAGATGTAGCTTGGTTAACAATGGCCCAGAATAACTATTAAAGACTTCCTTTAAGTAATATGTAGTGTTCATGCACACATGGTATTGAGAATTGAATGTGTGCCTTCTCCCCATCAAACCATAGTTGAAGTTTTAACCTCCAATGGGTATTTGGAGTGGGGGGGTGTCTGTGGGAGGTGATTAGGCTAGCGCCCTCATAAAAAGAAAGATACCAGAGCTCTCTCTCCCCATACATGTGCACCCAGGAGAAGATGGCTCTCACCAGAACTCAACTGTGCTGGCACTCAGGTCTTGGACTTCCGTCCTCCTGAACTGAGAAATAAATGTCTGGTAAGTCACTCAGTCTACAGTACTTTGCTATACAGCCAAGCTGACTGATAAACACGGGACGACAAAGCCTTTTGAAGCTGCTGTCCATCTCCCAAAAGCATTAAAGTAATAGATTTACTACATTCCAGAGCAGTGTTTCCCACTCTTTTGGAAACCTATGGCCAGCCCACACACAAATGTAAAATTTTATACCCTTCATATCACTTGAAATTGAAACATCAGGACAAAGAGTGATAAATCACGTTCCCAATCATCCTACCCCTCTTACATCCTCAGTAATCATCCAAAATCTTTTCTCAGATTTCATTAACACTTTGAAGATTTAGGCTTTTGGGAAGACTCACATGACCAAAGGTCACCAGGACAGATGTATCAAACAGGAGACCAATTAATTAGTTTACAATGAACAATATAAATATCACACAGGCCAGAGGACTTGCACTGTAGCCACTAGTGCAACTTCTCCCTGCTGGTTGACCAAGCAAAGCAGATGGTTGCTGATAAAAGTGATATCAGGACAAGGAGCATGAAATGAATCAGGTTGAACTAGACTGATATATCTGTTTCCTGTTGAATAATCTCGTTTATAGCTAAGTCATATACCACTGGCTATAGTTACTTATGTCCTTCTCAGTAATAGCAACTTCTTTGCTAACACAACTAGAATACCCCAAGGTTTCAGATATTCTCTATAGTGATAGTACAGGCACTTCCAACTTTTGTAACTCTTCTCTTTGCTTAGGAGTTTTAATATAAATACCCTCAATAAGTTTACAAGAAAATCTTGTACTTACTGTCACACTACAATTTACTCTGTTGTATATATTTCTGTGCAGTACCATTTTGAAGTTAGGGACAATCTCATTTGTAAGTTTTTGGAGATGACTCACTCTATTAAGACAATTTAGGATATGTATATGTGTGCAATTATTTACATTCACATGAATTCATTTGTATGCTTATTTTTTGTTAGGATTTCAGTCTGAATGATAAAGCCATCCCAGTGGCTGTGTTATTTAACTGAACTGTAGAATAATGCAGTTTTGCATCCGAAATGTAAGATTTAACTAAGATGGCAAATATCTGAAAATATTGCCAAGTCCTAAAAATAGGTAAATTACCATGAAAAGTATTCAAAATGTAAGTTCTAAGACATCCTTCTTCCTAGGGTTAATGGCTTCTATGCATGACACAAGCATTCCAAACAATGGAAACATTTTTATCTGAGATATGTAAATTGAATGAGCAGACTGACTTACAAAAAGTACTTGCAAGCCTCTTTAGAAATGCCTGTCTGATTTGATCACCCTGTAAATACAGCATGGAAAGCATGAGTTATGCTCCCTTGAGAAGATCAATACTACTCAGTACAGAAAAGGCTTTCTGTAGAGCTGCTGAAGAAAGTGTTGGCCCAGTCAAAGGGGTTAGTAACCCTCCATCCCCCCCTTAGCTCTGGTCTCAAACAGACTAGCTGTCATCTCCTGAGAAGCAGTCATTAATGATGGACAACTTGCTTATTATGAAGCTGTTTTAATTAGGAAAGGGTGGGATTACATTTTCCCATAATATTCTTTTCTCTGAAATGCTTTTATACTATAAAAGTTTTCTAAAACTATTTAGTCTGTGAAACTAAAATGACCTTCCTCTAGGTAATGCCTAAAAAAATCTATCAGGACCCTATTCTCCAACAGAATCAAGAAATTATCATCTGCGGACAACAATAATTTGTTTTCAAAGCAACTCAAGCTCAGGGCTGCTGTGTGAAGAAGCCTTTGTCTCCTGATGGCCAGCGGAACTGCTTCCCGGGGCAGTGCTACTAGGGAGATCAGGACAATCCCACTTGGGGAGCTGAATCCTTGCTAAACTCTCTAACCCTGCAACATGTAGTTTGTAATGTACTAATTAATAGGTACCAAGGAAATGTGATTTCACTTCCCTCCAGAGATCACGAAAAATATGTGGTTTCCCTTTCCTAATAAAATCAACACATATATTACATGATTAAAATCTCAGCAAGAGGTTTAAGAAAGATACACATGAAAGAAAACACCCATTATCACTAATTGCCTCCCTGAGTTGTATTGAACATAGCCTCTTACTGCCTTCATACTTTGCAAAAAAAAAAAAAAAAATCAATCAATCCCTTCTCATTTCTCTATTCTTCATTAGTCAGTTTTCTAGTTTATATAGGGATCTTGCTATTCTGTTAGCTTTGACTTACCTTGTTCATTTACTCACAACCATGCTCTATGATTTCAGTATCTTCATTCGAACCAAACATGCATCGAGCACATACATTGTGCCAGGTGCTAATTAAGCCACTTGATTTAATAAAAATCAGCGTGGAAACACTATCAGGAAACTAGAAATTTTAAAACATTTTGGTCTGTTCACCTGGAAACCTGCTGAAGCTGCCAATCACTATATTGTTATAAAACAATGGAAAAACAAAAATGTGGCTATTACTAATAATGGTATATTACAGAGATAGGGACACTCTACAGAAAACCACCAGGAGGAGTGAATTAGATATTTAAACCTATGCAAATATTTGCTGTTACTTTACAACATTTGAAAGGCAGCTAATAGTACTGATTTTTTTTGAAGCTGCCATTACGTGCATTCTTCCCTTTACCTCTGCAGAGCAGTCTGACTTTATACTTCTTTATTTCAAAATAAAACAGTCATGGAACTTACTGGTTCTTCTCTTCCTGTTAATGTTATTGTCACAGGTGCCTCTGAATTTGGGGGTATAGAATCTGCACTCATCAATAATTCACAATTTCTTCTTTTAGATTCCTGTCTTGTTTACTTCTATCAGCTCAAAGTATTTTCCCCAGGGATAGGAAGGCAAAAGGGTTATATGCCAGATATATGCCAATAATACAATGCTGTGGTGCTAACACTCCAACTTCAGATACTTGCATTCTGCTTTCCCTTTTTAAAATAATATTGCTGGGATTCACGAGGCAGAGAGCTTAAAATTACAAAGAAAGGAAACAAGTGGCAGTGCTCCTACCTGTCCCATTACAGGACACCTGTTTTACCTGGTTGGTAGAAGTCAGGAGACAGCTCCCGGGCCACAGCTCTGGCGATGTCACACTCCTGCCGGGCGGCCAGTGCAGCCTGGTCAGCGGCGTCGGCTTTTGCTCTCGCATGTGCGGTCCTGTATGTGGAGAACAAAAGGCAACCATCACGTGGGGAACTCCTGGGGACCACGCTAAGCAAAGTGAACCAGAAGGAGAAAGACAAGGACTGACTGGCATCGCTGTATGTGGATTAGAGAAACGAAAGGGTCACACAGAAGCCAATCATAAACCTAGAAATCCGACTGCAGAACTGAGGCTACCAGAGTGGGAGGGGAAGGGCTGAGAGAAGGGTGTTGGGGGACTACAGTGGAGGACTGTGAGTGTCCCGGTGGTGGGTGTGGTAACAGCCATCAGAAGAGATTGTGATCTGGGGTTCTGAGTCACAGAGTTGTAAACCAATGTCACGGCAATAAAGAGAAAAAAAGGCAAGAGCAGGGGCGGCACCTGGACCTCTGTTCATGACACCTGGGTCAGCAAATTGCCACTAGGCAGAGAAATCCCAACAGGGAGCACAGCCAGACACCTGCAATAGCAGGTTAGTCCTATAGCTGCGATCAGTCCTCGAAGATAACATGGATGAGACTATCTGCATGTTGTCCATTCCTCCGTTCAAAACTCTTGTATCAGATTTCCTGTTGACTTGGATTGACATTCTTTCCAAACAATGGAGAATAGAATTAGAGCATGTGAGTTAGCATTGTATTCATAATTACTAGGGTAGAATTGACTGTACCTGTAAAAATCTGATTAAGAAGGGTCTACACAGGGTGATGCTGGTGACATAGCTCAGGGGGGGGGATGTAAAAGTCTGATTTGCCGCCAGCACAGTTAATTTCAAGCCCTAGGGCGATGCCATTGAGTGTGGGGCTCCAAAGAGCTCCACTGGGACCGGCTCTCAGCTGCCGGTAAGAGCTGACTTGCCTTAAGAATGAGTTCAGGAAGGCTCCAAGTAGTCTACTTAGATGCTTTAAGAGCAGTTCTCACATGAAACCAAAGGAAAGTGGTGAGGCAGAGTTGGAGGGGAGGAAAATGGATCTTTGTTCATCCTCACTTACAGGAAGCACTTCAACACTACGACCAGGAAGCAGCAGTAGGGAAAAGGACACAGAAATGAGGTCTCTGTGCCCAACAAGAGGGGATTTTAAAAGATTAAGACTGAGAATTTTGGGTCACCTATTTCCAAAGGGGAGGACCTCATCTAATTAGTATTTACAGGATGATCTTGAGCACTTGTGCTTATAATTTTGCAAACTTTGTATTTTATCAGTACTAGGCAGTGTTAGAACTGACCATAAAAGCTTATCATAAAGAAGTGTTTGCAGGGCCCTTCCTGGTGGCGCAGTGGGTTAAAGCACTGCGCTAAGAAGCTTAAGCCACTTCCGCATGAGTTCGATCCCTGCCTGCCCTGGAGGAGATCCACATGGCGAGGCAGACCTCTCCTGACTCGCCCGCCTGCTGCTCCCCTCAGCAGTGTACTTCGTTGATCTGCCTGTTCTGCTCCTCACTCTGTCTCTGGTGAATCCTCTCACCCTCCACATCTCTGGCCTGTACCCCAGGTCTGTATGAATAAATAAATAAATCTTTAAAAAAAAAGAAGTGTTTGCACTTATTTCAGAGCTGGCAGGAGAGGAAGAGTTGGGAAATGGTGTTTGCTTTAGCTGATCTGAGGAGAGGAAACACAGGTGGCAGTGTGAAGAGGATAGCAGCCTAAAGTCCTGAAACTCGATGGCAGGAAAGAGAAAACAGGGAGGAGGGATCTGAAATGAGACCATGGGGTGGACTAGTAGGAGCTACCATTCTCAAATTACTGTCTCCAACTACCTCCTCTCACCCTGTGTGCTCACGGGTCCATTTCACTCCCACACACAAACTAGCCAAACCTAGGGGACAATGCACTGCAATGAGACTTCATGGAGACTGGGATTTTTATGTTTGGTCCTCTGCCACATTCCGAAAGCTGCTAGGCACCTAGTACTTATGGAGGGCTCACTGTAGGAATAAATGAAGCTTCCTTAGGAACTGTTGGATTGACAAAACCACAGAGACATTATAAAGATAAGCAGCTGCCAAGGGTTCCGGGTAAAAACGGGGTAAGGAAAAACAGAGCACAGAGGAATAAAAACTATTCTGCGACACTAGACAGTATGTTTTTGTCAAAAACTACCGTGCTTGCACAAAGTTAATCCTGATGTAAATTATGGAATTTAGTTGTACCAAATGTACCCATAAAAGATGTGGGGAGAGGAGGTACATAGGAATTCTGTACTTTCTGCTTAATTTTTTTGTAAACATAAAACTACTCAAAAAATTCTATTTTTATAAAAATTCTATTCTTAAAAATAATAATTCCAATGATCAAAATTGCTATCTTTGAATCATCCAGACTATTTGAGATCATATCGGTCAATAGGTTACCATGAAATATGAAGCAAAAATAAAACCCAGAGGGCAGGGGCACATTCCCAGTGGGAGTGACTCCACTGATGGCGATGAGTTGTCTGTCCTGTGTGCTGTGCCTGAGATCACTGGATGACCCTGTTCTTTCAGATTCTCAGAATCTCCACTCCTTTTATCCCCTTAGAACTATTTCCTTTTAAATCTACTATTCTCAGCTAGAGCCTAATTATGTCTAGGTCTCATAATTAATGAAGCCTACGAGTGCAGAGTCATGCTGCCTTATAATAAAATCTGCTAGCCCTTCAATGACAAGCTTACAAAACTTAAGTACAATTTACTTTCATATACTCACAACCCACCACCACATAGTCAAATAAAGTGAGTTTTATCTCTACCACCTGTTATAATATGCCAATCTAGAGGACAAACACAGTTAACCTTTCTGCAAATATGTTTTGGAAGCACAACATCAGCGAAAGATCACTTGTGAATTGGACCTTTTCTTTTTTGCTCTCCTCTGTGAGACCAGAACAGGAACCCATCTGAGCTTGCTGTCACCCAGCTTTTTGTGTCCAGGACATTGGTATGTCTAGATTTTGTCTAAGGAAGATCTGGATCTGACCCTGGCTCATCTTAGTGAATTAATGTGTTCAGTCCCAGGCTCTGATCCAGAGCAATACACAGCCCCTTTAATCAGTCAACTGGTAAGACATGCCATTGTTCATGGATTGGTGGGGTGGGATTCAAGCTAGCCAGTCTAGGTTACTAGCTGAGACAACACAAAGTGGAGGCCCTGCCGCTGTAATTGTGACATGGAACACACATGCCCAAGAAGCAGGTGATATCAAGAGGCAGCTGATATCAAGAGGCAGCTGATATCCCTTAAATCTTAAAGCTCTAAATATCGATACCATTATCTCATTTACTTTGCCACATAAAATGCAGTAAAAAGTAAGTGAAAAGCAAATTCTTTCTGTTACACATCAGCACTTAACTTTCTGTTAGGGTGATTACTTTTTAAGAATAAAAGTTTCAACTTTTATTAGGAGAGTTATTAGGTATGGGTAAAGAGATAGAAAGAAACCCGGGCAGCTGGCTCAGCTCGCTCAACAGCAAAGTGACACCCTTCTGGACACAAGCCCTGAAGCAGTCAAGGGTGAGTAGCTGAAGCAGTAAATGTGGAATTTCTGAATTTTAAGAGTCACCTATACTCAAGAATTGAATTACAAATTATTTTTCCAATAGGTAACATGATGAATGCGATTTTTCTTTAATGACTAATAATGTTTTATGAAGTCTCAAGTCCATTTACTCAGAAAAAAATAGCCTCTTTCCCCCAAACTTGTCCTGAACATAATGCTGTTACAAATAAAGCATTATCAAGAATAGATTGAATAACATGATTAGCATAGACACCTTCTGCTAAGGTACATCCGGTGCCTTGGATGTCTGTGCTGACTTGTAAGTTTCAATCTATTCTACATCTGTTCACTGACATTGCTGATAAAGATATTTAGCAGAATGAACGTCCTTTCTAGATTAAGATAAAACAGTATACAACAGTTACAGATTTTGCTATTCCTACTTTTTATACACTCTCTTCTCATTTATGATAGGACTCTTAAAATCTGAGGCAGAGGTACAACCTAAATGGTTCAGGGGCTGTACATTTGATTTGCCTTGTGTTCAAATATTTAAAGGCAACTGTTAGAAAAATGGAAAAATAAAAACACTTATGCTTAAGAATCTCCGTTGATAGCAACTCCATTGTTGCTGTCACTCAAGCCAAAATCCCTTAGTCAGCCTTGATGCTGCCTTTCTCTGACACGCCATGTTCATGGTCAGCAAATCCAGTTGGCACCAGTTTCAAAATATATCCCCAATCCAACCATTTCTCATTCTCCTCACTCCAGGTCAATCACTGTCATTACTCACCAGGGTTACTGCCAAGGCAGACCTGACCTCCCTGCTTCTATCCTTACTTACCCTTCTATTAATATTTCCCTTCTGGTTCTCTTGAACGTGCCTGACAGTAACCAAAATTATTTCCTGGATTATGGAATCAAGGATAAGAAAATACAAAATATTATGACCTTTTCACCTTCCTTCTGGGCTGTGACAATATTCATCTACGAGAAACCTAGATTTATGGAAAACAATTTAGTGTATCCAGTTGTAGTCCTTTTTAAGGAGAAATCAGTGTGAAGCTATGAACACTCAAGATTTTAACAAGAACAAGGGGATCTAGAGAGCTGAACACAGATGACTTCTCAGTTACTACACATGTCTTTCAATCTTGGTTGAAAGATTTGATACTATGGTTAAGCCAACCTGGTAAGGTTCAGAATATACTCTTCCTGCTAAGGTACATGAGGTCCTTTAGATGTCTGTCCCAACTTCTAATTTTCAGTTTTTTTTTTTTTTTTTAAAGATTTGTTTATGAATACAGAACTGGGGTATAGGTCAGAGGAGCAGGGGTGGAGAAAGGATTCACCAGAGAGAGAGTGGGGAGCAGAACAGGCTGATAGATGAAGTACACTGCTGAGGAGAGCAGCAGGAGAGGGCTGCTGCACCATGTGGGTCAGCTCCAGGCCCGGGATCGAATTCAAACTGAGGATGCTGCGGCCAGCTTGCAGTGCTGCATCCTAACCCATTGTGCCACTAGGGAGGGCCCTAATTT